CTCTCTGAGCTCGTCTGAAAATGGGGATAACAGTAGCTGCCTTTCAGAGTTGTTGATGTGAAGTGAAAAGCAGTACCTAGGACTACGCTTTTCATATGGAAGGTACTCATATGTGCTAGCTCCCTTTCCAGCTTCCCACCAGTTATGGCATCAGTGTGCTTTAGAGTCAGAGGAGCTAATGTCTTATCTCAGTTCTGCCTTTAACTTGTGTGATTACACAGGCCAGTTACTTAGCAGCTCCAAGCCCCAGTTTCCTCACCTGTAAAATGTGAATATGAATAGTTTTTACTTACCTTTGTTCATTCATTCATAAAATATTTATTGAATGCCTTCTATGTCCCAAGAACTCTATTCTAGCTGCTGGAAATATGATAGTGAACTAGACAAAGTCCCTGACCTCTTGGAGCTTACACTCTAGTAGGGGAGACAGGATCAAATAAAAATAATGCAATGTAAAATATTTTGCATAGTGCTTGACACACAGTAATTTTTTCACAAGTTCAAGGAAATATGAATTATCTTCTTTTCAAAAGTTCAATGAAATATGTAGTACCAATGGATCTCAGTAAACAGAATCAAGAACCAGGAGAAACATAGAGTTGATCTTGTAAAATCACAGAATGCTCAAGCTGGCAGAAAATTGGGAATTTACTTGGTCCGGTGTTTTTCAAAATGGGGTTCTTTTCTGGGGAAGCTAACCAGATCAGATCAACTTTTACCTGTTTTACACACTTAGGCTCCTGGGGGAAAAGCTTTACTTTTTTTTGAAAAACTAATCTAGTCTTACATCCACTTTATTCGGACCAGGAACCTACAGCTCAGAGAGGGGAAAACCTTTCTCCAAGTTCCTCCAACAGTTGGTGGCAGAGCAGGAATTGTCAGATGGAGAGAGAGAGATTTCCAACCATGTGATTCTCTGCCTTCCCAGGTAATTCAATCAGAAATTATGTGTTGAGCACCTCCTACCTGACGGGTACTCTGGTGGATTTAGAGATATCTGTCCTTTATCCCTGATCTCTAGAAGCTTCAAAACTTCATATGAACTTAAAGAGAAAGAGCCCTAAGCCATTAATTGTAAATTTAAGCAAAGGCTCCAGGCTACATCCCCATGAGAGTGGCTCTCTGTTAGCCCCAGACCTACATACCCATCTGCATCCAGAGTATTCCCAAATGGGAGGTCCCAGACTCAAGTTCAACATATCCAAACTCACTATCCGTGGTCAGCAGTCTCTAGGATGATCCCAGTGATCCCTACCTCCTGGTATTCATGCCTTTG